ATACTGGGAGACATATGGGAGTGATTTGGAGCTGCAGACTGGAAGACTGTGTTTGAAACAAAGGCAGCGATCTGCCTGGAACCAACACCATCAGAGTCAGAGACAGAGTTAAAGTTAAAAGAAGAAGACGTCTGTCCGTCCGTCCGTCCGTCCGAGACCAGCCTGGTGCTTCATTCTACTATGAGAAATGTAACTAACTGTTGCCATGGAAATGTATTCTGGTTCTATGAGGTTAAAGAATTACTTTAGAGAAAGTGATAAAAAATAGAAAACATCAACTGAGAACAGACGTCTGATCAGAACACCTTTAAAACTGACATGTTCTTTTATATCCTAGGACATCACACACACACACACACACACACACACACCCTGAAGGCCTAATCATACCTGCTTCCTGTTGGACTGGACTGAGGTTATTAATCAAACCAGACGACAGCTCAACCAGCCAATCAGAGTCTGCTATTATAATCCACAAGACTCCTGATTGGGCAGTGCTGTTATTGCTTTAAACCTGAGGTCAAAGGTTAATCTCAGAAAAGCAAGGAATTGGTGTGTGTGTGTGTGTGTGAAAGTGAATGAGGGGGGGGGGGGAGGGGGGGGGCCCTGGGCAATCAGCCTCAGGAAGTAATCACCAAGACCTCCGCAAAGATGTTTATGTTTCACCTCATGTTCATGGTTGGCTGAAGACATCGTTCATGAACACAGACACAGACACAGACACAGACACAGACCTCTGGTCCAGTCTACATCTGACCAGTCCCAGCTGGACCATCCGTACCTGACTGATGTCTCCATGGCTGAACAGCGTGAGTGTCGGTGCACGGCTCCATGGGAAATGTATTAATGAAGAACAGACGTGAGTGAGGACAACATCAGCAGCACAGACCTGAAACACAGACCAGAGAACAGACGGAACAAGTTAGGGAATCATTTCAACAAACAAACAAACAAACAAACAAGTCATTTGTTCAACAGCAACAGCAACAACAGCAACAACAGCAACAACAGCAACAACAGCAACTACAACAACAGCAACAACAACAACAGCAACAACAGCAACTACAACAGCAACAACAACGTGTTGTTGACCTGGTCATCAGTGTCATCAGTGTCATCAGTGTCATCCTTCACTGTTGATACTTGTGGTCTGTTGACTGTAGTTAAAACAACATTCTGTGACTTTGTAGAAGAAAACATAAATGTTCAAGTTTATTAGGGGACCAGGACCAGGACCAGGTCCAGGTCCAGGCCCTGAGTCCAGGTCCAGGTCCAGGTCCAGGGCTGACACAGTGTCCTTTTTAACAACACTGAAACTTTTCATTCCTGAAAGGAGTCTTTATTCAGTCATCTGACAGACAGACATCAGGAGTTAGTTCATCTTCACTCATGATGGGAGGGGCAGGTACACACACACACACACACACACACACACACACACACGGGTGCACAATCAAATCACAAACAGCCAGTGTACAGTAGACCAATAGAAATCTAGGTGCTGGGGGGGGGGTGACCACTGCTGTAATGATAAGAGGCCTCCAGTCACTAGGGGGCAGCAACGCATACAGCGGTTCGTACAGACAGAAATATACATGTTACCAGGTTCTCTGTAGTATTCTATGCTGTCGGGGGTGATCGGGGGTGATTGGGGGTGATCGGGGGTGATCGGGGGGGATCGGGGGTGATCGGGGGGGATCGGGGGTGATCGGGATCGGGGGTGTGATAGAAAATGTTGAGTTAAATCAATCAGACAGTGGTTCAACTGCCCCACATGACGATGACATCACTGTCCTGCTGACGCAACAACCAACACCGTCAGAAAGTGGTGTTCAATGTGTGTGTGTGTGTGTGTCCAACCCCAGGGGCGGGGGGGGGGGGGGGAGTTGGGATTCAAAGGCCAATTTATTACAGAACAGACAAGGAAAAAAATAGAAGTCCGTAAAAGGGGCTTGACGGTGGTCACATGGTACACATGGTACACATGGTACACATGGTACACGTGTGTGTTTGTGAGGTGACCCCAAGAAAAAGAAAAGAGCAAGAAGGAAAAACAGTTCAGGTTCTTTACCTCCCTGAAAGACAAACAGTTAGAGTTAGTCCAAGGAAGAAGAAGAAGAAGAGGAAGAAGAAGAGGAAGAGGAAGA